AATTATAAATTATGTTGGTTTTGACTATGGAAAGATAGGTGAAGTCTTAGTAGTCCTGCTGCTTTCCTCCAACTGCAGGACTATCTAGCCTACTTCCAGAGGACAGGCCCTGCCTGAGCAGTGCAAAACTGTGCAGTTGAACAGGAGACACTCAAGAAATCTCTCTAAGCACATGAATCGTGCCCTCCTTTACAGTTCACCCTGTCTTCCAGGCTCTTAATGGGAGAGCTGATACTCAAATGTTGTGCTTGTGGCAGGTGCTGGGGGGGTGGCAGGGATGCAATTCAGACCGTTTGCTGTGTTTCAGGATCCTCTCGCTTGCCTGCAGCCCAAGTGGCGCCTCCTTTGTCTGTTCCGCGGCAGCCCAGAGCCCCATGTCCCACATGGATTTTTCAGCAGTAAGCTCTGGTGGCAAAAGCATGAACCAAGTTCCTGGGAAGCTGCTACTGTGGGACACCAAAACAATGAAGCAGCAGGTACTTGCTGGATTTCTTTCCTTTCTCAGTCTGCTTCTGAGAATGAGTGTCTTCTGCTTCAATGTGTAGGAGCCCTCTTTCTAAATTATGATGACTCTCTTTTCAATACCCTTCTTTTTCCTCCTTCCTCCTTTCCTGCTCTATCACGTGCAGGATAAAAGCAGCTGCTGGGTTTGGGTGGTTGGGGTTTTTTTTTCATTTTGTTAGTGTGTAGGGGTTTTTTTTGAGGCATTCTCCAAAATAGTCCATAGCCCTTGTTTCTATCCGACTGGCACAGTTTGTGACTGGAGATGTCCTACATGGGCTGAACGATGCTTTGCCGAGGCTTTCTCCTTTTGAACTATGTTGAAAAGTTTTCTTTGCTGCCATTTCCCCTGCCACCCTTGTTTTTAAGTGAAGTGCTTTCAGAGGTTTGATTTCATGTAATCTTCTCCATTGCCTTGCTTTAGATGGGTCAGATTCTGACAGGGAATCCTCATCCCATCCCTCACCTTCGCACTTGAGAATTGCTGTCCGTGATGTGTAGGAGAAAGCAACATTCTCAAGCTAAAGCCTGCCAGAAGCTGGTTTTGCAGCCTTGAGGCCACGGTCAAGAAAGCTGTGGCTTGACTGTGGCAAATTGTTGGCTTAGTGTCACAGTAAAGTGCAGCTGCCAACCTTGAAGTCCGTAGTCATGAGAGGTATAGGGATCCAAACTGGCGGAGTTCTTGCTGCTAGATGCTGTCTTTCCTCCCTCGCCTGGAGATCAGCTCCTCAGCACCCCCAGCTCTGTCACTCGGCATTAATACAGACTTTTCTTTCCAGCTGCAGTTCTCCCTGGAGCCTGAGCCCATTGCTATTAACTGCACAGCCTTCAACCACAACGGCAACCTGCTGGTCACTGGGGCCGCAGATGGGATTGTTCGTCTCTTCGGTACGGCAGAAAAGGACCCAGGGGTGTTGGTCAATAGCCAGCTAAATATAAGCTAGCAGTGTGCTCAGGTGGGCAAGAAGGCCAACAACCTCCTGGCCTGTATCAGGACTAGTGTGGCCAGCAGGACCAGGGAAGGGATCGTCCCCCTGTACTCGGCACTGGTGAAGCCACACCTTGAATCCTGTGGTTAGTTTTGGGCCCCTCACTACAAGGACACTGAGGTGCTCGAGCCTGTCCAGAGAAAAGCAACAAAGCTGATAAAGGGTCTAGAGCACAAGTCTAATGAGGGGCAGCTGAAGGAACTGGGGTTGTTTAGCCTGGAGGAGAGGAGGCTGAGGGAAGACCTTACCACTCTCTATAACTACCTGAAAGGAGGTTGTAGTGAGGTGGGAGTCAGTCTCTTCTCCTAAGAAACAAGTGATAGGACAAGCGGAAATGGCCCCAGGTTGCACCAGGGGAGGTTTAGATTGGATATTAGGAAAAATGTCTTAACTGAAAAGGTTGTTACGCACTGAAACAGGCTGCCCAGGGAAGTGGTTGAGTCACCATCCCTGGAGGTGTTTAAAAACATGTAGATGTGATGCCTAGAGGCATGGTTTACTAGTGGACTTGGCAGTGCTAGGTTAGTGGTTGGTCTTGATCTTAAAGGTCTTTTCCAACTTAAATGATTCTATGAAATTGGCCAGTGAGGTGGCCCCCTAATGTCCCCAGCTCTCTGCCCCTAGCACCAGTCTCTCAGCAGAAAGGCAGATGTGGGGTGTTCCTGAACACCACGGTGGAAGCTCCACAGTAGCTTTAAGGAGGGAATTGACATAAATTTTCATTTATAGGGGACATCGGCTGGAGAACGTGGTAGTGCTGCTAGATTTGTTTGCTTTCTTCTTGCTGAGGAGCAGAGTTAACTTGCCCTTCTCTTGGCTGTGCCATGTAGTGGTGCTATTGCCAGAGGCTGAGTCTTGAGGAAAGCGATTGGTGTGACCTTCCAGGTGAAAGCAAGGGCTTCACATCAGCCCTTCTTCCCTGAGCAATTTGTGTTTCTCAGGTTTTGTCCTCTTCAGCCTGTGCTTGTGATAAAGGCATTTTGGGCCTGCCTTTTCTGTGAATGAGGGATCTGCTTCTGATCTGGATACTGAGCTGGAGGCTGCAGTCACAGGTCTGTGGGAGGAGAGTTGGCAGCAGCTGTGAGAGTGGACAGGACAGCAAAGAGAGGTGAAGAAGAAAAGTGACAGTAGGGCTTGGATGCAGAGTGCTTGCAGTTGACAGCGATCATGTGAGCAGCTCTGTAAAGCTGGAGGAAGAAGTGACAGGCAATGATTTTTGTGGCCAGCATAAACGCCACATGCTGGAGAATAAGCACAAGGTGCTTGGGTTAGATTGAACTCCCCCAGGTTGAGAGGGACAGAGACCTTGTGAATGTAAAGGGCCTCTCTCTTCACCTTGGCTCTGTGCAAGTATGACGAATGTTCCATACTCGTTCTCTCCTCAGATATGCAGCAGCATGAGTGTGCCATGAGCTGGAAGGCACACGGTGGCGAAGTCTACTCTGTTGAGTTCAGCTATGATGAGAACACAGTCTACAGTATAGGCGGGGATGGCAAGGTGGGTTCTGGGTGACTTTCTACTGGTCAGCTGGCAATGAGATCCCTTCTGGAGTCTTCATATGGTGGGAAGAGCAGAATCTGGAGGATCTGCAGGCTGCTAACTAAACTTAGATGTGCAGCACAGCTCTGCTGCATGCAGTCTCTGCAGAGAGAGTGGCTGGAAAGCATTTTAACAGCCGGAGCTGTCTCAGACCTTGTGTATAAATCCTACTGTTGGTGACAACACTTGTATTCCTCAGGAATCTCTGTGAAGATGACCTTTCAGTGCCCCTCAAATGCCTCTTGACATTTGAGATCTGAGATTCACCAGGGAGCAGATCCCTGAATACTTTGCATAAATTTCCTTGTCAGAAGCTCCATGTTGCTTATAATAAGGGCTTCAATTTCTGCAGTCTCACAGCCTGTAGCACTGAGAGATGTGGCTCAAGGAGGGAAACTGCTTAAAAATGTGGGTCCTTGACTGATGACAGTTAAGTGAATTCCCACCAGGATCCTGCAGGCAGTGTGGAAGGACACATAGGCAGCAGTGCTTGTGGAAGGTAGGGCATATGTTCACCTAGATAGCAGGCACTCTTACAGCCTTTCCAGTCTGTGTTTTATAAATACAGCCTCTCAGATACAGATGTCAAAATGCTATCTTCTGTTTGTGAAGAATAGCTGCTTTGCTTAAAAATGATGAATGAGCTCTCTACTTTCATACCAGTCAATTTAACTGTGGGCTTTTTTCATCTCTCTGTTATTCTAGTTTATTCAGTGGAATATTCACAAAAGTGGCTTGAAGGTGTCAGAGTATGATCTTCCCAGTGAAGCTACAGGTCCCTTTGTTCTGTCTGGGTACAGTGGCTACAAGCAAGTCCAGTTCCCACGAGGAAGGCTTTTTGCTTTTGACTCTGAGGGCAACTATATGTTGACATGTTCTTCCACTGGGGGAGTCATTTTTAAGGTAAGTATGAGAAGTGATGGGGAATACTCTTATGCATCCATACAAGCTCTTGTTGTTACAAGGCTGCAGCAGCAGCCACTGGACAGTCTCAAGCAGCACCTACCCCTCCCTATTCTATGAAAGTTGCAGCTCAGTTTCATAAAGGGTGAATTTTAGCAGGGTGTGGTGTTCAGCAAGTGTTGGAACCCTCTGTATGTAGCTAGAGTATGTGTGTTCCTACTGTTTAAAGCTCAGCTGCAGCAGTTTTCCTAAGTGCCCAGGACAAAGGTGTAATTTTTTTTAGATATATTGATGCATGCCATTCAGTGTAAAATATGTGATTGTTGACTGATGCTTATCTTTAATCTGCCGTGTGTGCTTGCTGATGTTATGTTAGTCCCAGACAGATGTGAAGGGTAAGGCTGAATGGTTCCAAATACCCAAATTTCTGTGCTACAGTAACAAGTGGTTACTGCTGCCTCTTGCCTGCCTCCTCTTTAGTGAACACCCATCAGTATAAGCCATTGCAAGGTAGATAGATAGAATTTTTACTTTGCATCTGGGCCATTCAGAGCACCTGCACCAACATGAGCTATAGCTCAGGGTTAGGTGCTCCTCATCAATGTGTGCTCTTCGCCTGACTTGTTCAGTTACTGCAGCTTAACTGATGTCAGAAGCTGATCTGCTTGAGAACACATGCTGCTGTTGCAAGACTGGAAATTTGTTTTCTAATGTGTACTGTGAACGTCTCAATATCTCTCTGATTTTCTGCTTAATTGTGTACGCCGATGGGGATATGGAGTCTGTAGCAGGCTTTGACTTCTGTGGGTGCACTGCCCCCAGTGCAGAAACTTGCCTCCTTAAAATGCTATGCTTTCCTCTTTCTTTAGTTAAATGGTGAGGAAAAAGTTCTGGAGAGCTGCCTTTCCCTGGGAGGACACCGAGCTCCTGTTGTTACAGTGGATTGGAGCACGGCCATGGACTGCGGGACCTGCCTCACTGCCTCTATGGATGGGAAGATTAAATTAACAACCTTACTGGCTCAAAAGTCTTAACCTGAACTAAGAGCAAGAGACTTGACAAAACCAGTGTTAACTCCACAGGAAGAAACTGCATGGGAGAGAAGGCAAACCACAGCCCCTTTTCTCATTGTAGCTTTTGCCTCTTGACAAATGTTAAAATACCTTTGCCAAACCACTGTGCAATAGAGTGCCAGTATGGGACCAGATCAGTGGCAGCACCGAAAAATAAGTCTCCACTGACCCATTGTGGCAGCTGGGATCCCTCCATTAGGGAGTCTTGAGTAGCACGTGGTTACAAGGCTGCTGGGATCACATCAGGGGTCCTGCAGAAGAAGGTGAGGCTGGAGGAGTCCTGCGTGAGACAGGAAGGCAGCACAGTGCATGGTGATAAGGTGGCTCAAACTGGAGAGGCCTGTGCAAAACCAGAGCATTCTTTTGGTATAGCATTTGGTGTGCTTTTTTTTGGTGGTGTTTTTTTTTCCATAAAAAGAAAATACTTCCTTGCACATGATTCCTGTGCTCTGTTCAGTTTTTGCTGCTAAACATGGAGGGTAGCTGGGGCAGTGATGTGCCAAGAAAGTCTCCTGTGTGGACAAAAGAGCCCAATGCTTTCACCAGGTGGTTTCAACACTGACACTCACATACCGAGAGGAACCAGTGCAAGACATCCAGGAACAAAAATAATGATGTTTGTTTGGCTGTGCTGTGTTCCCTTGCAATAGATGCCTGCTACCAAGCAGAGGAGAGATTCTTTAGTTAGGCTTTTTGAAATGCTTCTGTTGAAATTCAAAAGCTGCATAATGCCTAGCAGATACTTGATGGCAGGTAGGAGGAAGGAGGGCTGGAACCCATCTGGTCCTGTATAGTGCTCTCTGTCACTGGAGCTCTCTCCCCTTGCACCTCCCCAGCATCAGGGCAAGTGCTGTGCTCAGGTATTGCACAGTCATTGAACAGACTGCTAAGCAGCCAGATTTCATCTGCTTACATAGCACTGTGGAGTTTACTACTGCTTATGTCCATGGCCTTTATTAGGAGTGTACAGTAGTGTTGTTTCTTGGTGGAGTTCTCAATAACATGAAGAACACATACAATGTACTGTATGAAGATAATCTTTAGTATCCTCCAAAGGTCATTATGGTTGAAGAGCCCAGACAACCAGCAACATTTGCCAGTGTGAAGGGTGATCAGAGAGAAGGTGGAACATTATTTCAGTCTGGTTTTGCCAAGTGTGCTTTGATATTTTTGTGAAGAGCAATTATCAAAGTTGTAATGCCTAGCTTGCTATCCCCTTACATTTGAAGAGATGGGGACTGGGCCAGGTGGAACTGCACAGCTGGCAGCTTCCACTGCTGCCCAGCCAGACCTGGAGCATGATAGTTCTCCCCTAACTGGCCACTTTCCATTGGTGGTATCACACCTCACAGCATGACTTGGTGTCTGAGACAGTTGTTGCTATCTTTCTGCCTGGAGATGTTGGATATAGTCTGTAGTTATTTTGTCTGTCGCATGTAGCTTAAGCAAGACTACAGTTACAGCTAAGATGAGGTCAGACTTGGGCAAAAAGCTGATTAAAACAGGTAGGAGGTATAGCTGAATGAAACCAGACCTGCAGTGTGAAATTTCTAGATCACTGGAGACATTTATGGCTTGAAAGCACAGCATCATCAAGGCTGGAAGGGGCCTCATCTGATCCATCTTGTCTGTCTCTGCTCTGCTAAAAGCAGGGTCAGTGAGGGCAGGCTGCACATGGACGTGTCCACTTTGGAGCATCAACAAGCACAGAGACTTCACAATCTCTATGGCACAAATAAGCCACCCTCAGGCTGAGCTGGGGCCTCCAGCCCCACCCCAGGTCCCTGGGGCCTCCAGCTCATGGCCCTGGGAGGCCCACTGAGGCATAGACAGAGACCTCCAGGCTCTGCCTGAGCTCTACCATGTTGTCCCTGTCTCCAGCTCTGTCCCAGCTGTGACTGTGTCTGGCTACAGACCTTGTTCCAGCCTACAGGCGGTCTTCCTGGCCCACCCTTGGTCTCCTTGTGGTCCTGCCCGGCCACCACTGGACTGTGCCTGACTCTGCTTACTACCGCTGGGCCTGAACCCCTAGCCTGGCCTGCCATGACTTCCTGGCTTGTCCTCACAGCTGCCACTTTGTCAGGCACTTTTTTGTCACTTTGGGCTCTCGACTGCCCTGCTCCCCTTGCTTATGTAGGCCAAGGCTGGGGTCTGGCCATGGAACCTCCTTTGGCTCTCCATGGCTGAGGAAGCAGCATGCCTGAGCTGGTCCCTGATAACAGTCTCAGCACCTTCACAAGATAAAAGCTTTTTCCTTAGGTTGAGGTGATGTTCCAACTTGCACTCACTTCTCACTTTTCCCCTTGGTGGGCTACAACTCCCTCAGATCTCTGTGGGATCTGCAAATCTTCCATGGCTACCAGGAGCTCACCCACCACCTTCTGCCCAGATCACCAGAATTGCTCTAAAAAGGCAAGGAAGAGTCTGGTAAAAGATTATTAGCAGTAGCTCAGTGCTAGTCCTTGATATGGGCATGATTGTTCATGGCTCAAGCCTCTACAGAGGAAAAGGACACAGATGTTCCTTCTCAAAGACATCTGCAGGACTGGTTTTCATTCAGAGCAACGGATGAGAGAGATGTGCTAACTACTTGCATAGAAAGAGAGCCTGAGTGAACCTTCAAAAATAAGACTCTCCTCATCCAAACCCACTAGGGCCAAAGCTTTCCAGCTGGGCAGCAAAACTAAGACGTGTACTAGATGACACAGTTTATTAAACACCAAGCTGCAACAGAACACTTCGAATTAGATGCAGAGTAGTGGCTGCACAAGGTGGAATGCAAAAACTTCCAGCTTCACTCATCCCTGTCCCACCTGTGAGTTAAAAGATGGCAAACTATATATATTTAAGCAAAGTAAAAACTTATATTATAATTGATAATGGTGCTATTAGCCTTAAAGGATACTAAATCAGAACATCTACCACACGACAAAAATGCTATAGCTAATATTTGTTATACTTACCAGTTACTAAATCAGTAGTTCAAAGCTAGCTTGATAATTAATTATTTATAGAAATGCTACTCACCCATATTAATGACTATGGGCAGCTCTCACTCAGCCTTGAGCGGCATCCCCACTCAAGGGAGGAATATCTGAACACAGGCCAAAAGGGTGTGTTAAAATCTCTCCTACTCAAAAACAGGACTATTTTTTTATACTATAAAGTGATGGACTGTCAAGTCATTTGTTACTGATCCAAACCTTCCAGCTCAGCAAAATACGGCTTATCGTTCTTTTGTTCCTATTTCTGGAAACATTTGGTCTCACCTCCTGACCTCCCATAAAGTCTGGCAATTTTCTACCACAGAGCTCATGCAAGTAGGGCAAAGTTTGAGGTTTTATCCCCCACCTAAGCAAAGCATCCTGCTACAATCTCCCCATGAGCACTCTTTGTTTTCTAGCACTAGCATTTCTGTTCCAGCATCTTCTCATTTTTGGCTCTGCCTTAGAAGTCCAGCAGTAACTGTGGAAGGGTGGGAAAAGAAAAGTCTCTGTGCTAGTTCTACAGCAGCCTGGGCCAAAGGCAGCACTGGAAAGTGGATTCTGGAAGTACAGCACCAATGCACAGATCCAGACACAAACATGTCAACAACAAAATTATAGCCTGTGGGTTACAGACGTGGAAAATTGCATTACATGGAGATCCAGATCAACTTCCTGTGTTTTTTGCGTCATTTCTTACCCAGCTCTTTCTCCCATCTCTCTTTTAGACTCCTCTTTCTGGCTGTGACCCACCATGCTAGTCTCCCAATGACTTCTGAGGTTAAACCCTGAGTTTGCCCAAGTTCTTTCTGAGGCATATGCAAAGCGGACAAGGTCCTGTTTTTGTCTTGCCACTGTGTGCATTCTTTTCGACTGCATCTCCAGTTGTTGGGAAATGTGACCAACTTATAGGCAGCAAAATAAAAGGAACTCGGAGTGCTCTAAAGTTACTTCTGCGGAAATCCCCAGAGGGGGAGGCGCTGAGACTGCATTTGTCATCTGCTGAAGGCTATTAAAATGTATTAAAATCTTGATATATGGTGACCAGCTCTGCTCTTGCTCGAGGCCCCTGGGACTGTGTCATGGGTTAGGGCTGGGCTGGCCACTAAACACAGACAGACACTCTCTAAGCCCCTCTCCCTTCCCAAATGGGAAGGAAGAGGGAATGAGGCAGAGAGACTAACGGGTTGGAAAAAAAGAAAATTAAACCAGCTTTAATGAATGAGGAAATAATAAAAATAGTGAACTATATGCATATATACAAATCTGATAACAAACCCAATCCTCTGAGAACAATCACCACTGATAAGGCAGAGCAGGTGGCACTGGGGAAGCCCCAGGCTCAGCAGCAGAGAGCAAGACCTTTCTGCATATCCATCCCAGGCAGTAACTGTAAACATCAGGTGTTATCACTGCTAGTGGCAGACACTGTCTGCAAAAACATGCTGTTAACTTCAGAAAGTGCAGCCTCTTAGAAGAGACCGAGCTGAGAAGTAAAAGTCACTGAACAGAATTGGTTCTGTTTAGCTCAAACCAGGACAGACTGTGTCCTGGTCGATGAGGCCTCTGACCTCAGTAGCCCTGCTGGGACTCCTGACTCATGGTTTTTACCCATTATGATAACTACATCCGTGTTCATCAAGATCATCATCATATGCTGCCACAACAGCAGCAGAAGCACCCAGAGAAGTCAATCAATTGCAAAATACAACCAACAGATAATTAGCAACATGGCAAAAAAAAAAAAAAGTACAGGAAATGAATCATACATGTTTCAGCAGAAAAAATAATCACATGAAATCCACCAAACAAACCAGAACTTACCTTTCTTCTTAGCTTGCCAACTTTGTTGGCCACCTCAGAAAAGCTGCTCTTCGGCTCTCCCCAGAAACTGAGCTGGGACTCTCTCTCTGCATATACTATTGCTTTGTCCAAGACCATTCCAGAAGCATTTTCAACCTGCACAGAAAATTAGTAAGGAAGGTGTGAAGCAAAGCAACAGCTGGCCTTTTTCATGTACTCTTACATAAGCAGCACAGCCATGGCTTGCTTCACCTGTAATGTGCTTGACAGGCCAGC